TTTTTTTTTTTTTTTTTTTTTTTTTTTTTTTAAGGAAAAGGACTCTGCAAGTGAAATAAATGAAAAACTTACTGTATTTCGAAACAACATTCCAAACATTAAATAGGTAGATGGCTGAAAAGACCACTTCTGCCATTTTTCTTGGTTTCTGTACTCATCTGATCAAAGAAGCCCAATTTTAAAAGTGCACAAAAAAGGTTATCTAGGAGAATATTGGCTTAAAAATATGTCTTACAAATGATAACCTCAGACCATTATTCTGTGCCTTTGTATATTTCTGGATAATCTACAGAAGGTCTGAAAGGACATTCACACTTGTTATTAATCATAAAAACCCCAGCATATACCTGCACAGACTGACTGTCTTTGGACAGTAACATTATTTTCTGATTTTATATCCACCAGTTGAAAATATCAGGCCCCCTTTGTGTGTGAGGGTTTAGGTGTGAGGTATGTGTGCATGAAGATGTGTGTGGCCAGCAGAAAGCCACATACGTGACGAACCCTGGGATTCGGGGCTAAGTCATTGCCACTTTTAACCCTCTGGAGCAAGCTAATTTTGTACAGCAGGAGTCACTGCTGCTTGTGAAGCCTTTCTTTCTTCTTTTCTCTCTCTCTGTCTTTGTCTCTCTTTTTTTGGAGAGAGCATGCCCTAGCCACTCGGGGGCGGGTGTACAAACCAGAGCCCAGCTTGTGAGCCATTTCGCAGGCCTCAACAGTGATGGAGCCAACTTGGGACCAAAAACATCCAAATTTGCGAACTGCAGTGGGTCAGCTACGTTCCTTCACAGGCAGGGCTGGCTGAAATTCCCCAGACCTTAAATCCAATCACTTTCCAATCAAATCTAATATAATGCAGATATATTCTCTCCTAAAACATGTTTACTTAAAAAGGTAACACCTTGCTTTCTCTTCACAGATTCTTTTTAAAATTTTTCCTCAAGTGCAATCAGAATTGTTTGAAAACAGCAGGAAACCCAAGGGACATGAGAAGGTTTCAGGTAAGGGGCCTGCCGTTCTTTCCTGGTAAATAAGTCATCCTGTTTTCTTTCTCCTTAGCACTCTTTTTTTCTTTTCCCCCCTTAGAAAACATTATTCACGGATGCTGCTAACAACAAAAAAGATAACTGTAAATGACCGCCCTCTTCAGATAGTACTGAGGGTTTCTTCATTTTGTAGTGTTTAAGGCCTTCTGCCTGCATTGCCAGAGCCCCAGGGGAGGGGCACCAACCCAGGCTGGAGATTTGATTTTAAGCCCTCAGGCTGCCCTTCGCACACACAGCTGCCCACAAGCAGGAACAGCGTTCTTGATACTCAGCCACCTTGGGATTTTTCAAAGCAGCTTCTCTGTGCTTTCTGCAAGCAACAGCCTCTTCCTTTCCTTTGCCACCGATTAACTATTCAGTGGTCTCTCTCAGAGTGTCTGGGAGAGCAGCAGACCAAGCAGCCGTGGTCACTTTAAGATCTCAGCATGACAACAAGACCCACGGGACAGTAACCCAGCTGCCTGGCAGTTAAATCTGCCACCGGTTTCATCACCCCTGCCACTGATGTACTGGGGATACAAGCTAATAAAAACACAGAGCGAGGCAAAGTGTGTCAGGTTGGAGATGCGAGGAAAGCAGCCCCTCTTGGCCCCCTTCCTTCATCTTTGAAGGACCCACATTTAATCCACCAAATGGCTTTCCTGCCACTCACGCCCAATTGAAATACCTCCCGCTCCTTTCCCCATAGAAAAATGGAAAACATGTTAAACAATATTATTCAGGCTTGAGACTTAAAAAAAAAATCCTGGCAGCAACGTGAGAGATGAGAGATGGGGATCATTAGCCTCGCGTTTCAGGTGGGGAAAGTGAGGTTCTGGGAGTTTAAGTAACTCGCCTCTAATCACGGGAAGGAGGTGGTGGAACCCAGAGCCAGGAGGATGTGTCTGATCAAACTCTTTCCACTGGACCCTGGGTTTGCAGCGCGTGCAGCTGCTAGGTTTATGCTTTGCTGTTGCCTTTTTCTAAATTCTGAATAATTTCTGAACGAGGGGCCGCACATATTCATTTTACACTGGATCCCACAAATGATGTAGCTGCTCCTGCCTTTTGCTCAAAGAGCTTCTGTGGTTTAGCAGCAGAGTCATTAAAGAGTTAATAGGAGAGATGGGTACATGCAAGGCCAGTGAGCACGACCTTGAAAAACGAAAATTCCTGTAATGTTTTTTTCACCGCATCGTGGGTATCAAACTATCTTGCTGTGACTGGGACATTTTTTTTTGTTTGCTGTGTAGCGCTAATACGAGCCTCGCCTGAACAAGTTAAACCACAGCTCTCCATCCTGCAGACTCTTCCCCTGCTGCATGATAAGAAGACAAATAGAAATGAAATGATTTTCTTGATGGGGGGGGTGGTCAAGCAGGAACATTGTGCATAGTGGAAGCTTATGGTACTCAGTGTTCCAAACAGAAACATAAATAATTTCAGTCCAGAAACAGAGTGAAATTCAAAAGAATTCCAAAGTGCCCAGATGACCAAAGCTTAGCTTTCACGTCTGGAAGAAACAGAGGCAGGGAAAGAAGCTAGCAGCTTAGATTCCTATCCCCCCTTATTCTCTATCATCCCTTCCAAAGAGTTTTAAATTTGAGAAGACACTTCTAGGAGGCTTTAAATAGAATGCCTTGTCATTTTATTTATTTTATTTTATTTATCCCCAATTTTAGAAATGTACTCACTAAGCAGACGCACGAAATAGTTCCTCTACTTCTGTGGTTATTTACTAAGTGAAATTTTTAATGTGCCTGAATTTTTTAACAGGGTTAGAATAAATATTGTTCATCTCAAAATATGAGGAATTCTCATCCTATGTGAATGTACTTGACTTTTGCAAAGACGAGGGAAAAGATTTTTTTTTTTTAAGTTTGTGGATTCTAGGACTGTCTTATTTCTGGGGTAGGGCTAAAGTCAACTGGAAAAATTTTTTTAGCATTTTTTTATTGAGATAAAATTCATATAACATATATTCATCATTTAGACCATTTTAAAGTGGGTGATCCAGTGGCTTTTAGTATATTCACAGTGTTGTGCAACAATTACCACCATATCGTTCCAGAACATTTCCATCATCCCAGAAAGAAACCCCATACTTCCCAATTCCCTTTTCTGTCCACCCACTGACAGCTACTAATCTACTTTCCGTCTCTACAGATTTGTCTATTCTGGACATTTCCTGGAAATGGAACGATACAATATGTGGCCTTTTGTGTCTGGTTTCTTTCACTTAGCATCATGTTTTCAAGGTCCATCCATATTGTAGCATGTGTCAGTATTTCATTTCTTTTTATGGCTGAATAATATTCCATTGTAAGAATATACCACATTTTGTTTATCTGTACATCAGTTGATGGACATTTGGGTTGTTTCTACTTTCTGGCTTTTATAAATCATGCTGTTATGAACATTTATGTACAAGTTATTTTGTGAACATGTTTTTGATATCTTGAGTATATACTTAAGAGTAGAATTTCTGGGTCATATGGTAGCTCCAGCTTTAACTTTTTGAGGACTGCCAAGCTATTTTCCACAGTGGCTGCACCATTTTATATTCCCATCACTGATGTATGAAGGTCCCAATTTCTCCATATCTTTTCCACTACTTGTTATTTCCTGTTTAAAAAGAAAAAATCCTAGCCATCCTGTAAGTGTGAAGTGGTATCTCATTATGGCTTTGATTTGTCTTTCCCCAATGACTAATGATTTGAGCATCTTTTCATGTACTTTTTGGCCATTTGTGGATCTTTTCTGGAGAAATCTCTATTCAAATCTTTTGCCTATTCTCAAATTGGTTTACTTTTTTATTGTTGAGTTGTAAGAGGTCTTTATATATTCGGAATACTAGGCTCTTATCAGATAAGTGGTTTGCAAATAGTTTTCTCATTCTATCACTGGCTTTTCACTTTCTTCACAGTATGCTTTGATTCACAAAAGAATTGACAATTTTTATACTGTACTCAGATTCTATGACAAGTATAGCCTTCCATGAAGGGTCTTTTACATGGAGAAAGGCTTGACTATGTGCTGTAATGGTCAAGTGAAAAGTTTGGATCAAGTTCAAAGTATGAAACAAAACCAGAGATGGTAGATAATCATGAGAGTGATCTAAAGGAATGGTAGCTTAGGAATTCCTAGAATATACGTATATATCATTCAGAATGACAAATGTGATAATTTTAAACCATGTGGACAAATAACTTCGATTCTCTACTTTTGTTATATGATCAAACGTAGATTTAATCTGAAGTTTTTTTGATTTGTTTTGTTTTGTTTTGTTTTTGTGTGGAGATTTGATCTGAGCAGGATAAAAATACAAAGTATTTCTAACCAAATCATGAATCCAGCCAAACTCTCTCTCCTCTCTCACCCCTTCTCTTTCCACTATCCCCCAAACATCGGTGGAACCTAAATTCTTTTTCCAGAAATGATCAAATGAGGACAAAATCATTATATCAAACTTATTTTCCAATCTGAACCAAACCTCTCTTTCATTCAGTTCAAGTCCTAAGTAACATGGGCATATAAAATATTTATCGAAACGCAAGGGTTTTAACCCTTTTTTTGGGGGGGGGCTCAGTCCCCTTTGAGAATTTGGTTATGAGCTGTAGTTTTGTCCCAGTAAAAAGCTACATTTCAACAAAGTTTTGCTTAAAATTTCAGGGGTTCCGAGACCTCTTAAGACATCTCCGAGAATTCCACGGACCCTTGATCTAAAGAGATGAAATTCTTCTAACACCCAATGGGCTCCCTCCATGTAACTTAACCCTTACGATGGGGACCTGTCCACTTAGGACTCACCCTGATGGTCTTCCCGTTTTCTTGGCTTTAAAGACCACCTGCTCCAGGATCCACATCCTCAGACCTCCCCCTTCTCTGGAGCTGCAGACACCCAGCTCTGCCTCCCTCCTGGGCATCTTCCCTCAGATGACTAGTGAGCGCATGGTCACAGCAGAACTCAGTGATTCCTCCCTGATCCGTACCTTCCTCCTAAGTATCTGTAAAATCCCCCTCTCTCTCCTGAAAAACTGCAAGAGGCCCTTGCCTCTACTCCTTCCTTGTCTAACTCATCCTCAGCACGGCTGCTGAAGTGATCTTTTCGAACATGTCACTCCTCTGCTTCAAGTAGGTTATAAATATCTCCTGTCCATGGACAAAAGCTCAGATTTTAGAAGGCGTGGCTGAGAATTAGCTTCATACCAGGCAGGGCTTCTGCCACGCGCCCCTCCTGACACTTCCGTACATTCCCCCACCCACCAGGCACACCTCACTGATTTCTATTCCACGGAATATCGCTTGGAACCTTCTCACATGTTCGCCCCTCTGCCTGGGAACCCTTCACTCCTCACCAGTCTGTGACGTCTCATGCTTCAAGCCTACACCTGAGTGTCACCTCTTTAGTGAGGCAGTTTCTGGCAGACCTACTGGCCCACATACTTCTCTACAGGCTTCTACTCTGCCATTGATCACACCGTCTTCCAATTATTATTTGTCTCATAGCCTGTGTGCTGCTTGAGGATAATCTGTATGTTTTATTTATTTCTGTATTTCTCCCCAATGCCAGTCACTCTGTGGAGCTCAAAAAATTCATTATTGAATGATTTTTTTAAATGAATTTATTTATTTATTTATTATTTATGGCTGCGTGGGTCTTCGTTGCTGCGTGCGGGCTTTCTCTAGTTGCAGAGAGCAGGGGCTACTCTTTGTTGCGGTGCACGGGCTTCCCATTGCGGTGGCTTCTCTTGTTGCCGAGCACGGGCTCTAGGTGCGCGGGCTTCAGTAGTTGTGGCGCATGGGCTCAGTTGTGGCTCGCGGGCTCTAGAGCGCATGCTCAGTAGTTGTGGCTCGCGGGCTTAGTCGCTCCATGGCATGTGGGATCTTCCCAGACCAGGGCTCCAACCCATGTCCCCTGCATTGGCAGGTGGATTCTTAACCACTGTGCCACCAGGGAAGCCCTATTAAGTGAA